AGGATGCGAATTCACTGCGCGTCATTCTTGCAGGCATTAATGGAAATTTCCGATTAATTAGTTTATCCTTTATGCCGCACACAAAAACTACCAGGCCGTTTGTTTCAAAATAAACACATTGTATAGACTAGTATAGACTAAGTAACTTGTAGTCATACTAATATTAACTTATTGGTTAAATATTTGTGGTAGAATTTTAACAGAATATCGGTAAGAATGGTAATAGATTGAGACAAAAGAAAGTGTGTGTGTGTGTGTGGGGGGGGGGTAGTTAAGCCTCTTGTGTGGGGCCGCAAGCTGCGACCACCTTCATGAATAGAACCCAGTCTACGGGGGAGGGGCGGGGTGAATACCGGGCAAGTATTGCGCGACATCTCTAGGGGATTTGTTCCCAAAGTCGCGGCTCAAACATGCAACATGTTTCGTTTTCATTTTTATTTCTTTTGTTTCACGTTTTCGATATCCGTTAAACCACACCCATCCTCCCCGCCCGCAGCTTTTTTCCCCATTTCCCAAAACAATTGTTCTTTAGAGATTATCCTATTAGATGTCTTTAATCTTACTTACTTTTAATTAGATGGGAAGAAATATTTGTTTGGCAGGAAGAAGGTAGCTAAATAAATAAATTTTTAAAATTACGGTAAATTATTTTTTCTTTTGTCAGACTTCACCCATGCGCCACTACGAGTTACCAATCTAATGAAATACTTTTTTTTTAAAACTGCTTCCTTCGATACTTTAAAATATCGAAAAGACACCTCTTCAAAATTGTAAGCATCTTTTTAAAGAAAGTGAAGGAAGAAAAAAAATCCCACCAAAAAATAATAACCCTCAACACCCAGCCCGGTTTCTGGTAGACTGGGTGCAATAAAAACCGAGGTAACGAAGCGGAAAGAAAATAAATCGTATCGTTACAGGCTCCTGTCTCGCCCAAATATTTTTTTCTTCACCATTCAAACTCATCGCCGCTTCATCACTCAAAGACCGTGAGTGATAACTACACCGGGTCAGGGTAATTAATTTATTCATTAATTAAATCTCCCAACAGCCCAGTGTTTTGTGGTTGGGGTTTCTGTCCACCAACTAAAAAAAAACCGCAAAAAAAAAAAAGTTTTGTGGGAGAGTACGGTAGATTAAGCAGGCTTTCAGCTCATTTAGCATACCACTGACTTAGTCGAGCTTCCCGTCCAGGCTTGCTCATCCTTGGTTTGATGCGCCGAATTAAAGGCCACTTTATTCATAGTCAGGCTCCTCTTCACGGGCCATCTGCATCCGTCTGGCACCATTTGGCCACTGGCCACTTGGTCTGTTAGTGTTAACAACAAATGAGGTTATTGCTACATCGTTTTTTTTTAGATTTGATTTCCTCGTTAAATGTTGTAGTATCAAGATAAGAATTTTTATCCGCTTTCTTCACGTATGGAAGATTGATCAGATTTTGGTCCTTCTCAGCTTATTGAAAACGGAAACCAAAACACTGCATGAGAGTTAAATACATTACTCACCGGACTAATTTCTTATTTCGATCTAGCAATTTAAAACAGGTGGCCTAACACACTAACAACGCACTGTACCTAACGGACCAACTTTAACTTCATTGAACCAAGTACTAGTGCCAAATGCCTCAGTTATTACTTGGTCAGATTGAAGAAGATCAACTCCATCTAGAAAATGTAAAATGTTTTGATGGTTTGTAGTTTTAAAATCAACCAGTACACACCATTTGGCCCGATGCCACCCCCCCCTCCCATAAACATTTTCCCCATGATTACCTCCTCCCCGCCTTGTTTAAACTACAACCCCTGACCTCCCACCCCACCCCCTAAAACTGCTATCCTTACCATTACGGGTACCGGCAACTAATACATTTATGGACGACACTAGACCCGCCCTGGTCAACTGGCCGCCATTTCTTCATCTAGCAAGACGCCAGGTTCAGACTTGGGGCGCGTTAGTGGAATCGCTTCCCTTCCCTGCTGGAGACTCAATGATCCCATTCAAGGGGAGAGAACCCCCTTTAGGTTCAGACACTTTTTACTGGGGTGACCGCCCCGGGCCTATATTGTCTACCAGCGGTGGATGTGTGAGATGCTGCTCAGCGGGACCCAGTGAAGATCCATCGTCGTGAATCACGTGACGCCCGGGGGCCGACATCGTCAACGGCTGGCCGGTACAAAGCGCCCCCGCTGGAATCGTCGAGTTCTCCCCCGTCCTCCGCCCCTAGGTCGGTAATGGACACCCTTTTAATCCCCCTTTATTATTGTTGGGGTTGATGAAAATAAATTACAAAACACTGGCCGCCATTAAATGAAACGTCTTTAGCTGGGTGTTGACAAGTGGCTGGATGTGATTTGTGGCGGTTTTCTCGGGAGGTGTTGTGTGCTTTGTGTTTTGAGTTTTGTATTGGGGATATCTGCTTAATGTTAACCTAGGGGAAATGTGTTTTATGTTGTATCGGGGAGATGTTGTATGATTTACTGGGTAGATATGGTGTATGATTTACTGGGGAGATGTGCTTTATGTTTTACAGAGGAGATGAGCTTTATGTTTTACTGTGATTATGTGTTTATGTTTTCAAGGAGATTCAGCTAAAAGATTAGCAAAATGTTGTTTAACAAACACTATGCTATTTAGTTTTAGTGTGTGTTGACATTCACCCTATTATGAAAAACCCAACCATGTCTGTACATGTTCATTTCTGTACCCCTCCGTTTCTCTACCTGACAGTGCCTGTACTTATGTTTATTCACTTGGTCAAAATTTCGCCTGGTCAGCAGGACGCACGTGCAGTGTCCTAACATAATGATGTGTGTACTCACGATTTGTTTCTTTAGTGCTCATGACATGATTTTCTCACGGACAAACTACATTACAACTTACAACACCGTTTTAAAGTAATTCTTCAACTTAGTCACCAACTTTTACCATCGAGAGCTAGTGATTGAAACTATCTTGTAGACAAGTCTAAATCGAAAACCTAGAAAACCAGTTGTAAAACGTTGTTCCGTGTTAGTTTGTCTCATTAATTACAAGCCTGATTGGTCCATTCACTGACCGACGACAACATGACAGCGGACTAGACGTGGACAATGGCCCTCACATTTTTATAACTGTCCACGCACGTCCAGACGTCCAGTGCTGATTAACGAAGCGCTCCTTGGAGACAAACCCCCGCCCGGATTAGACGAATTAATCTTTCCGCTCTGGTGAAAACTAGCTTTGTGGGACGATAATCTCTTTAACACAATCCCCCTCTATGAAGGACACCGCTGTTATCGAATTTGCTCACTAATCGAAGTTTATTGATTTTGAAAATTGGCATCGATTTTGTTATAACTTAAGACGTAAGACGTTACGTTATTTGAGAATAATAAAACCCGGGTGTATTTCTAAAGACAGAAAATCAAATCGGGAATCAGAATTATCTGTAAGGGACACCGGGTGCTAACAGGGACAAAAGTTTGAACCAGGCATGAGAATTATAAGGGCTGGTTCGATTTTTTTTTCATTCATTAGCATTTTGTCTTTCATGCCTGACTTTTGAGCACTCAAGCGAGGGCTATATCTGAAGACTTTTCATCGGGTCTTAATCGCCCTTTTTTTTTCTTAAAAAAGGGGGGGTTCTAAAAAGGGGTTCTATTATTATTTTTCGGGGTCTTTCAAACCCACGTGTGGTGAGATAAGGGTCATTTGCTTTTGAAGACATCAATCAAACTGGTCTTCTGGATTGAAGACAAACTTTGTTTCAAGTTCCGTTTTGTGAACGATTCTTTCACGTGTAGCATATGTGCCATAGAGGGGGCTACGTTAAGCATATGTGACACAGGGGCGGGTAAGTCAGTTAACATATGTGACACAGGGGCGGGTAAGTCAGTTAACATATGTGACACAGGAAGACAATCCTGCTCTTCTGAACATGTGTGACGTAGCGTGGTGACAAATATTGACTTACTCTCTAGAACCTTCTCACCGCCACATGAAAATACTTCAGACGAGGAGGGAAAATTCTCAAACAAAAGAAAGCTAATCGCAAAAAGAAGTTCCATAAAAAAATATAAAATAAAACGATTTTGTGGTATTTTTTACCATAAAGTGTAAGATTAGGACAACATTTTGTGGCAATTATTGGAGGAAATTTTCATTTCTTTAAAATTTGAGCGTATATTTTAGGGGTCTATTTATTTATTTTGTTGCTAGCTGAAGATATTTTTTGTTTGCTTTCCTCTACTGTGATTATTGTTATTGTTGTTGTTATTGTTGTTGTGTGCCAGGTCATCAAATTATCGTTGTCTTAAGTTGTATCGGTATCGTATCTACTACTACAATTAACCGACATGGCTTCTTCTAATTGACCTATCACATGATGTATCCAACAATTATTTTAAAATTTATCCCAGAACCCGTAACTTGACGGGCGTGGGTGCTAGTACACTGTTTATTAATCTGTAACAAATCCCTGATACGCCACATGAACTCCAACATTTCCTTCCGTAACGTCAAGTTCTACGAGTCACCGAGTGCGTTATGTCTACCTGTAACCTCTGTCATGGCTTTCTTTTGTTCAGACACCTGAGACAGGTAAATATTGACCGAGGCTTCGGTAGATTTAATGCTGCTGTAGACTATCTGGAACTGTGTTCCATTAGGCTGGTGCTGGTATTACTTTGTCAGTATTGTGATGCTTGTATCATCGAGTCAATATGTTGATTCTAGTATCACCGAATCGACAGTACTTTTTACGCTGCTATGGAATCATTCACAATAATATGTACCTCTTTAAGTGAAGAACATCATCTTTAGTAAGTTACTGTCGATGTTAGTGAATTTAAAATAAAACCCCTGTTATAGCTGGATAGATGCCTGTTTAACTCAAGTTTTGTGTACTTACACAAAAAAAAAATTACTGTGATACTGAATAAAATTTAGATGTCTTAATGACGACATGCATGTCCTATGTTTGTCAATATTTTGACGTTAAAGTATTTTCCTCCCCTCCTCAGAATCGTGAGGAACAAAGCCAACGACCGCGCCAAGTCCACCAGCCCCCACACACAGGACGGCGGCTCCCCGTGTTTGGTCAACGACGGGAGTCTGGGCGTCCACCCGTCCTCCTCCCCGGGGATGGAGGGGGCGCAGAGGGGAGCCGCGGGCCCGAATGGAAGCGGTAACGGAGCCGGAGCCGCTGGCGGCTTCAACATCAGCAGCATCATGAGCGCAGGGAACAACAACAACAACAACAAGCGAAAAGGCGAGTCGGATACAGGTAAGGGAATCATTGGGCTTTTCATGGCGGGAGTACTGGTGGGCTTTTTTTGGAAGGAGATTACTGGTGGGCTTTTCTGGAGGTTAAATTTGTGGTTTATTTGGAGCTAGTATTTGGTGGGTTGTTTTTTTCTAGAGCTTATATTAGTGGGTTTTGTTTGGCCTCAATTGTTTTGTTCGTAGTGGTGTTTTTGTTCTGGTGCTGATTTGGTAGGTTTTTCTGGAACTAATAACGATGGTTATTTGATCAAAAGCATATAATGTTGGGGATTTTTCTTTAGGTTCCATTGAGTATTTTGCTTGTTTTGCATATCCAGATAGCAACTCCCCCTCCCTTTTTGTGATTTGGCCAATTATTGAAGCTTTTCGTTTTGTAGTTTTTACAATGAGTTATTTTCATCTCATTTTTATCACTTTGATTATTTTTCCCTGTGCAATGGAGAAATAACTTCACTCTTAAGACTGGTACGTTTAAATCATCAATCATGTTGTTCGACTAGATCTTGTTGCTGAAAATGAATTTGGAAATACTTTTCTATGTAATTTAATCAGACCAACAAATGATTATAACTTAGTAAACGTTTTGTTATTGAAAAAGCTAGAATCCCATTGGATCACAGGTTGGGGGGGGGGGGGGGGGGGCAGAGAGACATCGGTTGTCCTCCCAACAGCTGGCTGTGACCTCTGAACTACATCAATAAAGAATGATGTACAGATTTCCGCTCATGAGAAGGTCTAACGTGACTCGGGGGAGCTGGCAGTTACCCGGCGCCCCCTCGCACTGACCACGTTTAATCACGTGAATTGCCTCGCGCCTGGACGCCAGCCAGTGGTCATTTAATAATTGATTGGACGCTCGGACTCATCACGTGGCACTCGGGGTCACTCGGGTGTACGGTGCTGACGTTGTCTGGACTAACGCCCTGTCCCCGGGGAGGTGGGGGGGGGGGGGGGAGGGAGATGATCCGGGTCTTGTCGTCGCTGAGATTTTAAATCTTAAACGTCCAGGTGTTAGTTGCTCACGGGGATATGACGATCAGGTGTGTAGGATATTACGTAACAGCCGCTTCTCCCGTCCGGTTGATAACCGTTATCTCTGGGTGTCACGGTGATGACCCGCAGCGGGGAGACTACATTATGTCATTAAGCCCGATGACATGGAGTTGAGCTATGCTGGTCAGTAGTAGTCCGATGGACACCTGTACCAACCACACACACTTTTAGGATGCATTCTTGTCCAATTCTCACTGACCTGTACTTTCGCATATTTTCTGTGTTTATCTATTCTAGTTTTTTCAGAATGTACAAATATAGATTCGTGTATGAATATCATTAGAATAAATATTTCCCTAGCATTACCTTTGGCAAAAGTTGTTTTCTCCATATTATGTACTTATGAGTTTGTTTTTATACAGAATTCAATCAAAGCAGCTTTTCCCTATCCACTCCTCGCCCTCCCCAACTCTCATCACATTGATCACCAACCCTATCCTACCCCCCTCCCACCCACAGTAAATCCATCTATCATTCGGCATCCCTACTCCAAACCTCTACTACTTACTCTGATCTAATAGACCTCCCTCTCCCTCCCCCCCCCCCCCCACACATACACACGCACATCAAAAGCACCCTTCCGCTGATGAAGATGCTGATTCTAAGGGGTGACAATTTACTTTTATTTTCTCTGACTTCTCTCCCCGATCAAAGGGTGACAATTGACTTTTATTTCCCCCCGACTTCTCTCCCTTCGCTAAGAATGTACCCATATTGAATAAGACCCCCCTTCGCTTCGTGCTAGTAGATAGCCATCTCCCAAAGTACCCGTGTTTCTACCTTTTAACTTTAAACCTTTCTTTCATCTTACCGTGTAGTGGGGGGGGGGGAAGGTAGAAACAGACGGGGACCGGGACACTATTCGTCGTCCCAAAAGTATCGTTAATTGTTAAAATGTTATTCCAAACGTCTGACAAACCACCCCCTCCCCCCTCCCCTTTCAGTCCCTGCGTGGCAGATCTAAACTCGCATCTCATGCCGTCGGTATATGATCGGATCTCGGCTGGAATTAAACTCTCACAAACCACGAGTACAAAAACACCTGAAAACGTCTCATTGGAAACATTAAACGCCATTCATCCTAAACGGAGCCGTTTTCTTTTATTGCGTTGGTTAATTTTTTAAAGTCTTCTTTAGATGCTACAAAAAAACTGAATTTCTCTTCATATTTTTACATTTTAAATTCCATTAAAAGATGAATATTATAGGTCTTAATTTTTGCTATAGAGTATAGATAGTTTTTTTTCTAAAGTTAATGAAGCGAAAATTTTTAAAAATTGTATCCTCGCTTTTTCTATAAACAATAGAGCCAATCAGCTCGGTGATTAAAAGTTCTAGAAGCATCGAGCCAGTCTGATGCCGCTTTCAAGAAAATCGTCATTCATGTTTAAAAAAAAAAAAGTATCCCTTGTGCATTGCGCGGTCTCCCTCTGGCTTATCTATTAAAATTGTGAGGTCAGTCAAGCGAGAAGCGCCATACAGGTCGCGATTTGTTTGTTTGTCTGTGTTGAATGTTTTTTTTTTTTTAAAACCTTCCGACATTTCGAGTCGTATTAAATTTATATTTAATGGGCCACGAATTAATCCAAGTTTTTGTTGATTCCATTTGCCTCATTTATTAGAGAATGCTTGAGGTAGATAATAAAATTTAATTTAAAATAAATGGGGGGCAAAAAAAAATTCATGCATTCGTCTGTTTTAATGTTCTCGTTAAGTTATTTTTAATGGCACATCGATGGACGACCACCGCCGTTAATCGAACCACCAGACGACCACCTCCCTGCAATAAACGGTTGCGTTTTTTGTGCATATTTTCTTCTCTGGTCCTGTCGTACGGTTGGGTTTAAAAAAAAAATTCTGCAGTAGTTTGGGGTACAATGTCTCTAGGTACGGACGTGTTATATTATTCAATCTTAATAGCCTGTTCTAACGGGCACAGCTATTTTAAAACAACGACTGTGGGTCTGAAAAGAAAGTTATGAAACGTTTTTAAAAGCAATTGTTCTATAAAATAACTGCATTGAACTTCCTTTTGATGTGAAATGCACTAAAAAAATTGCGATCTTAAATCGAATGTTTTTTGCATATTTACGTAAGGTTTTGGTTTAACAATGCCTTAGTGAAGAAGTCATCATGCGTGACAGTGGTTCCAAGGTTCTTTGTTTCTATACACCTATTCAGTGTTTTATAAAAGCATGTTGCCAGCTTTTGTGTGTACTTTACATACGACGGACGTGGTATCTCATCTTGCTAACTCTAGTTCCCCAGTCTTCATTGATGTTATACTAAGATTCTGTCAGTGTCAACTTACCAACAAAGTTAGAACCGCTGATGTATCGTGTGTAAAAAAATGTGTATGTCAATTTTTATTCGTTGACGACGTAACAAAAGATTTGAAACGTTGCGCCGTGAGTGCTCACACTTTCACGTGTAGAGTGAGTTTACTTTACACGTGAGTCCGCGCGTCTGGCGACTTTTCTTCTCCCCGTGTTCACGGTTCTCGTGTCATAAGTTAGATATGAGATCAAACACGAGGGCTTTAAAAAAACACGGCTTCCGGCTGGCGAGGGCTGAGAGCCACTCGACGGGTGTTCCGTGTGGTTGGGTAGCCACACAAGCCACACGGGCCTGTGTTCTCAAGGTCGCTGTCAAGTGACGTCCGTCAGACAATTGGTGCTGCGACAAAACGTCAACACCACAGCGCGATTGTTTTCTTTCCCTCTTGTTGCTCCTGACAAAAGACCCCTGTCACGTTGACTGTGACATTTCGCTGAGGAAACGTGATCGTGACAATGTCAATATGGCCGCGATCACGCCTACAAGCCTGCTTCACTTTTGTTCATCTCAACTGAAGTCTGACCATCCCCTCTCCTCCCCATCCCATTCCCATACGATGCCCAGTTTCAGCCCACCTAAGATGCTAGTATAAAAAAACAACAAATAAATAAAAATCGATATGCATAAGGGGAATTAATTCTGTATAAAATCCCGTTTCCAAGGGAAATAATTCAACTAAATAGCTAGTGTGTAACAGAGAAATAACGTCAATGATTCATAGCTGGTACTTTTGATTGTTGAATAATTGAGACGGTGGATTTGTTTTTCCTACAGATCTTTTCTTGTGTCTCTCTGTTGTGGTAGTTTGTCTTACAGATCTTTTTCTCGTGTCTGTCTATTGTGCTAGTCTGTCTTTTCTTATCTTTGTCTGTTGTGGTAGATGTTTGCCTTGCAACAGGATACGGGCTAGCTGCTGTCGTTCATTCATACCATTGACAGCCTATGGCAGCGACGCGAGCCAGACGTATGTTGTTTTAAACTAAGCTCCGCGGTTTTCTAAAACTTTTTTTCTTTTATTGTTTGAGAAACGAAAACTTTGGAAGAAAAACTTTTGTTTTTTATTAGTAGACTGTGACTCGAGTGGTTGGGAGTCGGTGGTTGTGTGAGGAGGGTGAACTTGGTGTACTCACATTGAGGGTCGTCAGCTATAACTTCAGTGCTGCCCAGGGGGCGGGGGGTAGGGCGGTAGAGAGCACGATTGTAAATCCTGGTGTCATGTTCAATTTACACTCTAGCAATTGTTATTTCTTTAAAAGTATGTACCCCAATCAGGCGGCTGACTTTCAGTACGAATTACTTTTGAATGGAACACCTTGACAAACTTATGACTGCAACATGAGACACAATTATGCACATTGAGACAATATGAGACAACATGAGACACAATAAGACAACATGAGACAACATGAGGTACAATGATACACCATGAGACACAACTAGACAACATGAGACACAATTAGACACAATTAGACACAATTAGGCACAATGAGACAACAACAACCTGGACACAACGAAACACGCTTAAAGTAAGCTTTTAACTAGACCCAAACCAGACCCAAACTAGGAATAAACTGTATACAAACTAGACCCAAAGATATAAACTAAACCCAA